TCCCGGGGCTGGCCGAACCTGCCCCCCCCGCCTTATCCCATCCCGTTCCCCAGGGCTGCAGGGCCACGCTTCGCCCCGGCCGCCTTCCTGCTCCCCCCCGGCAGGGCCGGGGTGGGCGTGGGTGGTCCCGGGTGGGCGCCGGGCGCCCCGTGTCATCCTGCCGGCGCTCGGTCCCCCGGGGGCTACAACTTATCGCCGGGAAGAACCTGCGGAGAGGAGCAGAGCCCCGCGTCGCCGCCGGCCGCACATTCTGCGCTCGGTGTCACCCAGCATCCCTGGGGTCTCCCTGCATCCCCATCCCCACCCAGCCGGGGAAAAGAAGTGCAAAAAAAAAGGCTCCTTACCTACCTGGTTGCGTGTTTTGTGCGATTTCTGCAGCCACACGCGCCACTGGTCGTAGAGCTTGATGCCAAGGTTGGAGCAGCCGTAGGCGTGTTTCTTCACCCACCCGAAAAACTGCTTCAGCTCCCGCCGCAGCGTCGTGTTTTGCTCCCCCCCTTTGGGGTCGCAGCCCCCCGCCGCTCGCTCTGCGGGGACAAGGGGGTCAGCACCGCCGTGGAGAGGGGAACGTGGCTCAACCACCCCCCCTCCCCACCATCGTCACCGTGCCGTGAATAATAGTGGGCAAGAGGAAAACAAGCAGGGTTTTGCCTCCCAGCTGGGAAAACCGAGCTCTGAATTGGCTCCTTTGCAAGAAATCCAGGTGCCGGGCACGGAGGGGGGTAGGGCCCCCCCCGGCACATCCCGTGTGCGCAGGGCAGGGGGAGCGTGGCGGCGCCGGCATCCTCTCCCTGCCCGCCAAACGATGCCGGCCCGACGCCGGTGGTGCTCACCACTGCGCGGGGTGGAGGCGGCGGTGGGGTTGCTCCAGTCGCTCCAGATGCCGGCTTTTTTGGAGCCGTAGATGCCGAAGGGATTACAGCGCACCTGGACAAAGTAGACGGTGCCGGGGCGGAGGCCGGCCAGACGGCAGGACGTCTGGTTGCCCACGTCGTCCACCACCTGGAGAAGGAAAAAGATGGCAGCGCCGGCACGGTCAAGCATCCCCCACCGTTCCCCACCGCCGGCGGGCGATCCCGACCCACCTTCCACTCCGAGCTGTCCTCCACCCGGTACTGGATCTGGTACTTGGCTTGGAAGAGGAAATCCTTGAGAGCCGGCGGGGAGCTCCAGCGCACGCTCAGCTGGTCCTCCAGGTCCCCCACCCGGCTGACGTGCACGTCCGACGGCGGGTCGGTGGTGACTGCGGGGACAGGCAGCGCCGCGGGGGTTAAGGAGCCGCAGATGCCAAAAAAAAACTCGGAGGAAACAGCCTAATTCGATTAGGAGCAATTCTGCTCACAGATCGCCCATTTCCTGCTGCCCAGTCCGCGTCCCCCCTCCCCGCCAACATCCCACCGTGTGAACCTGCCGCCCGCTTCCCCCCCCCCCGCCCCGCCATGAGGTCACCGG